TAAATATTCCTCTAATATGATTCACCGCCGACGACTACCACCACTTTCTCTCCCTCTATCTCTCTCGCTCCCCTTGGATCATCCCCCGTGGAGCCACTTTGATTCCCCAATATCGACGGCATCCTCTCTCCCTCGATCCAAGGGACCCTCGAGAATATCTCTTGGAAGAATGGCAACTTACGATTAGATCGCGGGGTAATCTAATTTGTGCATTTGCAAAAAATTGAAGGTGACCTCGAAAAATCAGGAAAAAAAAAAGAGTTGACAAAAAATTTGCTATAATCACGTTAAAGCTCTCTTGAAACCATGTTATACCTGATAAAAACATTTTCGATCGGACTGCTAATAATAGAGTAATCTCTACTGATCACGATTCGTGGTTCACTCTGTATATCAAAGTTCTAACTCGCAAATACAAACACAGTCACGATGAAACCTACCCCGTCCTCCAAAGGTTAACGACAGTATGCCATCAGCAATATTACATCGAGAAACAAAAGATAAATTTCGATGTATTTAACACGTCCTAAAATAAATATTAAACAACCCAATGGGCAGATATTCCGTTGATTTTCATTTGTATCGTAAATTCTGTTGACAGATAATTGGAATTAAATCGGGCAGAAAGTGTCAAGGAGAAGAAGTGCCATCGAGAGATAGCTGCACCGCCGCCGGAAACCGCCATGTTCATCGACAGTGCCCACCCGGAGGCGAACACGCTTGGAAAATCACGCGCGGCCTCGGTGTAATGTGGAGGAATTTATATTTTATCTGCACGATGCAATTTCCACGGCGTCTGAACCGCGGGGATCGTGATCGATTTCGAAAGCTCCTTATTCCTTTGGATGTCACGGAACGGGAACAGGGTTGCACGATCGTCCTTGCACACCCTCCCCTCGCCTTGTGCACCATTCGAGTAATAATTAAATTAATACACTGTGGACTAAATTGTACTGTAACTAGATCATTGTACAGACTCCTCTTGATTATCGTCTGGCTTGTTCTACACGATTACTGTCCAAGCGTCATTCACACCACTGGGGGAGCGGGGAAGCCATAAAACCTGTCAAACGCATACTGTTTGCGAAGTGTCTACTCGTTCGAGAAGAAATATTATTTTATGATAAAAATTGGATTTACCACGTTCAATAAAGTAAAAATGACGAAATATTTAGTTCATCTTTTATTCGTTATTTTTACTTATAACTTATGAATTTCGATAATAAAAATATGATTTAAATTCGGTTGCGGTTCGGGTCAATGCGAGCTGAACAATATGCGTACACGAGTTAAATCGAAGAGAAGAAACCTATATCCGAGGAGGGGGGACAAATACTGTCCACCAATTCATATGTTTGAATAATTCATCCCTAATCTCTAATGTTTTATACATGCTTTCCCTGAATCCGCTACTGTTGCTGAAGTAACCCAGCCCGCGTCATCTGCACCTGTAAACACCCGTGTTATCCATATTCTACGAGCCCCTTACACCGTCGTCCTGGTTTCCACCGTTATTTCCCCGAAACTTCCCTAAACCCTGTCCTATACACCCTCTGTTACAAATCTCAGAACCTTAAAAGTCCTACCCCCTCCCCTTCGAATTAGCTCCAGTTTCAGCCTCGCAAAAAACTCAGAAGTGACACACAAGTAAATCAAATTCACTGTCTGAATATAACTGGGTTAAATACCGAATCTTTGTAAACGATAAGACGGCTTAAAGAGGACTTAGACCTAAAATAGCCGTAAAATAGGCGTCTTTAAGTCGTCACGTGCTATCTGGGTTAAGTGTCTAAAGGTAAATTATTATTGAACTCACACCGTAAGAAGTAAAGAACCGTAAGAAACCGTAAGAAGTAAAACGAAAACGTCGGAACAAGACGGTACTACGAGAGGTGACGATTCTCGCGGCCACGAGTGCCAAATCAAGCCCAAGAGAAATCGGACGAGGAAATACATACGGTGGAACGTAATGGAAGCGTGTTCACGGCCCCCTGACACACATCGACTCGTTAAAATAACGACATAATGGCTAATTTAGCGATAATAAGCGCGAACCGTATCGTTCAAATTAGCGTCGAAGGTGAGACGGGAATGACAGAGAAGGGACCGCTCGAGGAGCGAGAAAAAAGGAGAAAAGATATATACGTATGCATACGATATAACCCCGGCCAGCCGCGGCGGCGCGCGCCGGAATTTAACTCCCCATTGGACCACTTGTATTGCCCACCTTCTGCCATCTTGCGGTCACCACACGAAACGGTTCTTCGAGCAAAGACCGTAACTCGGAAGACCCTCCCCCAAATCAATCTTGCGTAAAAAAAAAAAAGAATTATTATGTATGTTTAAATACTATGGTAAAATAGTCATCAGTTTCCATATTTGACTTGAGTTTTACAGCCAGAGCCTGCTGACAGAATCGTAAAGCATATTGACAGCAGATTGACGACAGATCCTGCAACACAACTCTGGTCAACTTAGGTTGTTTAACAGACTATGACATAGGATCTGTCGTCAATCTGCCGCTATTCTGCGCGCAAAGTATTTATAGTAGATCCTGAATCAAAACCGTAGCCATTCTGGTTACAAAAACTTATAACAGGCATTGAACAAAATCTAACTGTGCAAGTTTGGCTAACTGGATTAATCGAATATAAGAAAAATTGCTTCTTGTGACTCATTCATGTGTCATGTAATATACACAAAAATACAACAAAATATTTCTTTTATAATTTTTAAATAATTGGGGAATGAAAGAGTTAATAAAATGTTCATATCATTACCAACTTCGATCGAATAATTCGATTATGGATTTTATACATTTATAACGGACACGGCTGACGGAAAAATGAGAAAGACACAAAGTTCGCTTCGCAACTGTTATAAAAGAATTATTGCGATTACATTCAGCGACATGTTCGCCGGTGATCCGGTAATAAAAGCACGAGGGTTGAACGGTAATAAAAATTTAATGATTTTACGCTTTTATAATCTAGATATGAGTTATTGACTTGTCAGACCGCTTCCGCAATCGTTGCCGCATACACTGTACCGGCCATTGGTCATGAAGTTTCGGTAGAGAGGCAGTGGAAAGTAAACCGCCGCGTGGGATTTTCTAGGGGATTCTAGTGTCAGTCACTAATGCCTGTGTCCCGTGGGATAACGACCACCAGTCAGATCTTGACACAGATCCCAGGCAATAAGATTTGTCAAGCTATTTCGGTACGCTTATCACAGATGTTTCACGAAATTCCGTTCTTGAACAAGATATATCAAATGAAATTATGGAAAATAAACTTATTGACCTGTTTCTCGAGAGGAATCCACCGAGATATTTTTGCATTATCAATAATGTAACGTTGAACAAATCGGTTAGCTTGTCTCGTGATCAATTTTACGATGGATAATTTAACGACAAATTCGAATATCGTAGTAGCAATAAAGAGACTTAAACGGAATCGACATGTATGAAAAAAATAACAATTATGAAGTATTTTATTAGTAAAGCTAATTAGTATCATTCTGTATGGTGATACTAGTGAATCGATTGCAGTTCAAAATAATATTAGCCTCGACTCTAGTAAAATAAACATGAGCGATAATATTTATGTCGTTAAGTAAGGTGCCAGACCATTCAATACAATTATACTGAATATCTAATCTACTCCCAGTCAGTTCGTTTTGACAACACAAGTTCAATGACGTTTACTAACTAAAAAAAATTATAAAAGCTAATTTCAGAAACAGAAACGTTCAGTTCTAAGGACTCCCTCAGACTGTCTCCAAAATCCTTGTATCTCTCTTCGTTAGAATCTTTCTTTATATCTGTTTTTATAGGACACATATCGATGGTCTTCGGAGACTGCTGCTGGATTTCGAGAATTTAATATCCTTTTATATCCTTTCTGGCACGCCCATTCGTATTTACGGGTCAACTTTATACTTCGAATGTTTCAAGATAGAAACAGCGATGAAACAACGTGTTTATTCGAGAATTTAGTTAGGAAGTCGTAAATTACACGTAGACGTCGATAAAGAAAGCACGTGTGATTGAATTCTTGTCAATGAGTCGCAACTGTATCAACAAATAGGTCATCTTTCATATTTTCGTTTCTTTAGTTGGCAATATATTTAATTTTTTTGTAGTTCAAGTTGAAAAAATCAACCGGTAATATCACGACAAATGTTATACACTTCGTTGTATTAATGGAAAGGCTCTGTGCACTATTCGGAAAAAAAATCTACAGCAAATAACACTGATACTCCTTCAGAGAACGTAATACGATACGATAAAAAACAGATTAGTCACGCGTAATCGTATTTACATGGAAGAAATATTCACCGTCGGTAGACCGCTTAACGCGCACCAACTATATCCTTTGTAGGAAAACGATCGTGGTTTGCATACGCAATGCCACATTATTTTTTGGACTAGTTCATTTATAGAATATTTGAATCCATGGTTAGGTAGCGTTTCTCGTTCCGCGAAGAGAGAATCATCCGTTAAAAATGCAATTACACGTCTGACGTCTCCTTTATGACACATTCCTCCTAGCAATCTAATTCGCGTTTCTTACTCGGTCGTGGTCAAGAAACGATCGTTTTAATTGGTCGATTCTTTCAATCGATACCCACGGTTATTTAAAATAAAAATAACCGGCAAGCAACGCAACCGATATTCCAATTTGAATACTATGTTCCCAAATATTTACTTTATTTAAATCTGGCAATACGAAGAATCAGATCGATAAGGAAAGTCGATAAAGTGTCACCGGAACGAAACGGAACCAAAGGGCGTGGTTTGACAACATGCTTCTGAACGAACGCGCGGCGCATGGGCTTGAAATGTACAAAGCGCGCGCGACAAAATAAACGTTGATCGTTCGATCGATAAAACAATCTATGAACGTAAAGTTAACGGTGGTACGCATGCTCGTACTACACTGCGTCGTTGTACGCGTTGGACAATAACGGAAAAAAAAATATCAAACAATGTTACTGACCTCGGTTGCCAGCTTTCCTTTCGACGCCATCTTGACAACAATGACGGCGGTCGGTTGACACGCCAACAACCTGCTGCACGCGCTGCACTTACGATCTTCAATGTATTTCTTGGATACGCACGACACTGACGGTACTCCGATCGAACACACGCGTGCAATTCGGGCACGTTCACTCTCGTAACTGCAGAATAAAATTCCGTCCCGTTCAACGGCTCGCGCGACCACGTACCGAAACCACGTGCTGACGTCACGGCACGAAACGTCTTTTCGTACTAGCGTGTACTACGAGAGGCGTACGAGTTTACAAGCGACACAAAGGCACCCCGGCTCACCACAAACGCGCCCCACCACTTTCGACGACCGATACAAGTCCCTTTCACTCGTTCACTCGATAATTATAATAAACCGTTACTCTATCCCCTACTCCTTTCACTGTGATTGGTTGTACTCTCTTTCTCTCGAACGCATTCCGCGCCAATGACATTCGTCGTGTGTCCCGTCCTCTTTCACTTTCGGTAATAGTAATTACGTTCCTGTTCGCGACACGTCAAATGTTACCGGTAGTTGACCAACGGTGTCGTGCGGGTGACAAAGGTTTTCCTACGAGCTCGTGGCGAGCCGAGACACAAGTTACAGGTAAGTAACAATGTGTCTATACGTGTGAGTAGGTTCGCAGATTTAAAAACAATACGAGGGTGTTGTTTCGTATCGTATGGGGGCCACTTTAAAGCTGAATAAAGTACACAACAATGACTAAAGTTCGACTAGGAATTACTAATAAACTGTTCAGTGTAGAAGAAAGTGTGCGAAACAAAAGTATTACTGTACCGTGATGACTAGACTGCAGATTTTATGCTTTTATTAATCTGAACCGAATAACATACTTAAGAGGAATATAAATTCCTAGATTTCCGCCTGTCTTCATAAATTACTTTAGAAAATATTGTTTTGCATAAAAATCCGCAGTTTAGTAATGAATTATGAAATTATTTCCTATCTTCTATCATTTTAAAGCTACAGCCCGGCATAGTTGCCTGGGGCATTAACTGCAGGTATGTTCGAATACCTTCTAACTGAAGTGAGGACTACCATTACTTACAAAAAACAATGTAATGTTAACGTTACCAATATCTCTGCACGCGAGCCTACTCTACGCTTTCTCGTTATTTTCCTTCGGCTTTCCGAGCTCAGAGATTTACTGTTAGCGTTCACACGGGTGTGAAATATTCCTTAGAATTCGCTGTATCTCACCTGCCTGCTACTCATAGGTGTCAGAACAGTGACCGATGATTTCATTGCTTTCGCATCCTGTTCATATACATCTTCCTGCCAGGCAGATATGTAGCATGTAGCAAGCGAATTTACGAGATTGAGGTTAGGTGTCATTCGGCAAAGATCGTTCCTCTCTGCCTCTCTCTCTTTCTCTCGAGTTTCGCGAAAGCAGTCGAGGGGCGAAGGGAGATTCGCTTTAATTCCGAGCGTATTAACCTTACCGCACATTTTTGCCCTCGTTGATCCCGGTTGATTAAGTTCGGTCAAATGTCGCACACTTTTTTCCACGAAAATGTTCGAATACCCGCGAAAGCGTTCGAATGCCGGCGACGACTGTGCGCGCGCTTTTTTCACCGAACATCGAACGCGTTCGATTAATTTGAAATAATCGATAATGCCCGTCAACGAGTGGCGCGCTCTTTGAACTTGCTTAATGCTTATAATATAGACAGCAGACGTTTGTGCATTTATAGCGTCTCCTGACTTGCAAAACGTAGCAAAATAAACATTCCAATCAAATTTAATATTATTTATGCATTATTAGTAACATATTAAAACATATAGTATCGAAAATAAATTTCTGTGCAATTTTGTTTTTTCTATATTAGCACTTTTTAGGCACAAATAAGTAAGAATGGCAAGGAACAAATTGAACAAACGAGTCTGGACATTACTCTGATATATGTATGTACATAGTATAATACAAATTTTAACTACATAATGTATATTATATTGAATGTGGCATAACCCGTTTATATAATTTGTGGTACTTAATCAATATTAATAAGTCTGATAACCAGTTGTGTACAATTTTTTAGCAAACTGCCAGCAATAAATGACAAAAGTTGTCTAAAAAACCATAGCCATCTGTTTCCGCGTTTGATTTGGGTTTTGTAAGCACCGCCGTAGATCGTTTCGGGTACTAATCCAAGTTTTACTGTACATATAAGTGACTCGATAATTTTGTTTTTAGCTTTAACTAGGCCGTTAAACAACATATACCGGTTAACAATAGATTCGATTGACCTTACCATCTCATGAAAATATTTTTAGATATGAAAACAAAAAAATAGAAATCACACGTCTTTTAGGTATGGCGATGAAGTCATTCACCTCGAACGAATACGCTCGCGTAAGTACCGAAGATTTTCTCATTCGAAGCTTGTCGTAGCTACAGAATAAGATGGAAATATTTCTTTTTTTTTTTCTTTTAAAGCAGGAACGACGCGAACATCGACTTGTGCTCATAAATGTCACGCCCAATTAATTCTACCAGTAGGGTCGAAAGTGTCAACCAAGCTTCCGACTCTATTCCTTCGGCTCTCATTTGTTCCACAGTCACGTAGCCGCGTGTTACGAGCACTTGACGAGCCGATAGGACTGCATCGGTATTGAACAACACTTGTCGCTGGAAAACGTGGCCGGAACACGAACTCTCCCCTTCGAGTTTCATGTAAAAGTTCGTTTCCCGTTGACGATCGCTGACCTAGTAATAATTCTAAATCGGGAAAAAAGTTTCCCGACGCGGCTGTTAAAGCTTTGCGTAAACACGATCATCGAGGCTGAGTCGGGGTAAATATTGCTGACACTGTACTTTACAATAATAACGCGATCCATGCAGTGACGGATCCAGAGAGGGGCAATTGAGGCGACTGCCCCCCCCCCCCCCCACAAGAATAATAAAATATAAAAATATTGGTGAACTTGTCGAAAAACTACTTCCTCACCGATTTCGATGATTTTTGAATATGTCGTAGAAACAAATATTCTGAACAACTTTTTCCTTTCACAAAAATTTCATCGACGCCAGGGACTTAATCCAGTATGATTTTTGAAGCTATACCCAAACCGATATATTACCGAAAACCGAAATAAATACCGGTATTTTTTGGTTTCTATAAGGGTAGACCTTACATAGGGTTATATACCTTACCTAAATTATTTTTATAATTTTTGAAAAAAAAAACATAATGAACTTATTATGTGGTACATATCTATGTAATTAAACTGCTTAGGAAATGGGTTCTGATAAGGAACTGGGTCCAAGACGGTATATGCGAGTCACGCCCCAGTCCACCCTCCCCCCTTCTCCTCGGAATCTTTATTGGCACACTGACTTCGATGGAATCGGTATTACGTACGCGTGCCATAAAGTAGAAGGCTCGAACAGGAGTATAAGCCAGACGAAGAAGACAAGAGGGAAAAGGAATATATACGAAGGAGAGAATCCGAGTCCCCGTATAGTCTTGGCGTGGATCGGCAAATCCATTTCGCGGCTCTTTCCCTTCCGTCGACCGAACGGGGAACAAGCGATGGCTACGAAACCTGGTGCTTTCCAAGTGAACCGAACAATCCAGTCAGCCAAACATGCACAGCCAGATTTTTTCCAATACCTGTTATAAGATTTTGTAACCAGAATGGCTACAGATTGGATGCAGGATCTGCTATAAACAATTTGCGTGTAGATTGTCGGCAGATTGATGGCAGATCCTACGTCATAGCCTATATTATAAATTAACTTATGTTAGCCTGAGTTGTGTTGCAGGATCTGTCGTCAATCTGCTTTACGATTCTGTCAGCAGGCTGTAGTTGCAAAACTGAAACCAAATGCGGAAACGGATGACTATTTTACTATAGCATTTAAACATACATAATAATTCTTTTTTTTTTACCCAAGATTGATTGGGGGTGGGGGATCGTTTATTGACGTTTTATTGTTCGCGTCGCGAGCTGGACTCAGACACGTCGCTATAATATCTTTCGCACAGCCATGCGACCGGGTCGATCGTTGGTGCAGAGATGTGGGTCAGGCACACGCCCGGAAAACCCCCCTGGATTTTCATCCCGTCCCTTTTTTCACCCGCCAGACACGCGTATGTAACGACGCGTCACTTTCATGGATGATCCTGTGTTTCGCGTTCACAAAAACTCATCGATCTCACACACGCAGACACGTTGAAATAGATACAATAAACAGGTTCCTATTAAATAAAAACAACATTTGTGAGAAGGATTTTTGGCGACTCGAAAGTGAATTACTATTGTAACGTCATTACCTGCGTTACCAATACAGCATGTATATTGACATCGATACTGATCACTAGACAGCGGATGTTTATGCAAATTTACAATTTCGGTGGCTAATATAGAAAAAACGAAATTGCACAGAAATTTCTTTTCGATATTATGTGTTTTAATATGTTAATAATGATGCATAATTTTATTGGAATGTTTATTTTGTTACGTTCTGCAAGTCAGGGGACACTATAAATGCATAAACATCCGTTGTCTACTGATCACAGTTGGTTAACACTAGAACTACCAACGATAAACGCATATATTTTTCGGTCGATCGATAAATATGGCAAACTTTTGAAAATTTACAAATTTCTAAATTAATTAATTTCTTTAATGTCGTATCGTAATAAAAGTTACAAACGATCTGAGAAAATGTATTGTTATAACATTGTAATCATCGTTGTAAGAGTGTATTGGCAAGTCATTTCGACTTGCTTGGTAGTTCTAGTGTTAAAGATAATTCATGAAAAACAGTAATTCAGAGTTGGTTAGAGAAAGTTCGATTTCTACCCTTGTTAAGGTAACTTTCCCCCTGCAGGAAGAAATACTCGTTATAACGATTACAAACGGGACTATCGTGTCGTCAGTATTAACTGGCCGAGTCGGGATAACCTTTTATCTACAACCACTTTCCTGAAAGTTTACCGATGGAAGCTTGAGGAGCGTTTTGAGCGTAGTAAAAGCGCAATTAATTTGAAATCCCATTAAGGAAGGGGAGCCTTCATTTAATCAGGCTCTTTCAACCACTAATTGCCGTAATGAATTCTGTAATCGGACCTTCTTATCGACCCCCATCGCGCGATCAACTTCCATGGAAATGTTTTTGCATCGTCTCAAAACTAGAACACTCTACACCTAATGGATTTGTAGTAACTATCGGAACTTACTTGTTTTGTTCGGATGAAAAACGTCAACTTTTGACCCAATTTTATGTAGTTTGCACACTAATTAATGTATATCTATAGCGATATTGATTAATGACACTCATAACACTGTTCAACAAATTTCAACTATTTTCCTATTTCATAACCGTTTTGGTTAACCATAAATGGTTTTTTCCCAGCATATCAAGTTTTCAAAATTGTCCTTTTCACTTTGATCATTAATCAAACGTATTTAAATGTCTATAATACAATAATTAAAACTTGTTGAACAGTGTAATAGTTCCTACTTAAAAGGATTAAATGAAGTTACCCTAGAAGCTTAATTTGGTAGTAATTAGGACATCTATCTTAGCTATTAGCCTATTCAAGAATCCACTTTACGATCGCGCTATATCACTTAACACTAAAAGTTTCTTTTAATTATGCCCTTCACCCTGTCGTATCGACGTCACAGATGTATACATAGGAAGATTGAATGACACACCGATTAGATATAATGATTAACTTGTATTCAAAAGGATGGACATTACAAAATTAGTTAGACCATATTTCGTTTCGTTAAACCCAGAAAGGAATCGATTAGTCGTTTAGTCGACCACCATTGCGGGGATCCTGAGGCAGACATGAGGCGTGTCGTGATCACCGACCAGAGTCAGCTGAATGGTCAGGGAGATCTTCGGGTAGATCTTCTCGATCGGCATCTTCAGCTTGTAGGTGACAACCTCACCCTTGTCCAACGGGCACTGACCGTCCACAAGATTCTTGCAAGCGTTCTGTTCGGGCAGAGGGTACTTGATGTTGGTGTTTCCAAGTTGGACATCAACCACTGGCCGCAGGGTCTTTGTGTTGTCGGCTGTAACAGGGTTTATTAAATTAGAAACGGAACCCTCTCTGATTTCCATTCGAACGAAAATGTGTCTGAATAAAGGGGGATAAATTTAATAATATAATATATATTTCTTTTTTTTAAATTTAATGGAAAAATTTTTGTCTGATTTCCATTCGAAGACGAACCGTCAATTCAAAATGGCAATGATGTAAATAATAATCGAAATGCAAATCTCGGAATTCGAACATTTCCACCGAGTCGATTGGCTATTTAGTAATGTCAAACGATTTCCCATATAGGAAGTCAATGATGACTAGACCTATGGAAATTTATGGAAATTCACAATTTCCAGATTATCAATTTCTAAGAATTAAAATGAGACAGAATTTTGAATTCTGTACCGAAGGTTACACTGTGTTAATAATAACAAGTGAATAGTCTTAAACTTCATTAGAACCTTCATTTTATTGGATTTATCAAGTTCTGAGACGCTAGAAATGCATGTGGGGGAACGGTGACAAAATGACAAGATTTTGGTACAGTTTCGAAATATATTTCGTGGTTGATACTTACCAACGGTGAACGCGATAGCAGCTTCGGCAAAGGAACCCCTCTTGAAGTTGCAGGGAAGGGTGTTGCATCCAATGATGTTCACGTTCTTCGGGATTGGTCCAGTAGCGCAAGGCTGGTAGTTCGCCTGCATAGAATTGGCCACCAAGAAGGCAGCGACGATGTAAACTGCAATGACAAGACACACTTCTTTGGGTTATGGAAAAATGACTAAAATTACCCGAAAATCATTTCCTCTGATTCTGAAAATTTCAACCCTGCTCACCAGACCGGTTCCCATTGGGAAAAGTGTAACAGGGAATTCAAATATGTATTGTTGTCGCGATACTATGAAGATCTGTTGAAATTGGAGGATTCTTTTAAGAAATGAAAAACTTTTAAAGGGAAACTATGAGGATGGAGAAACTTGCTCAAAAGAAATTATGAGGATCGAGAGAAATTGTTAATGAAAAAATATGAAAATTGAGAAAATTGTTAAACAGGAACTATGAGGTTGGAGAAAATTGTTAAAAAGAAAATACGAGAATTGAGTAAACTGTTGAAATGAAACTATGAGAATTCAGAAAATTTCTAAAGGGGAACTGTTCAGAAGAAAGTTTCAACTGATTGATGGTTTGTTACTAAATAGTTACATACCGTAAGTCAGGAAAGCCATTTTGCTGCTTGTGTCGAGTTCTCAAGACAAGTAATGACCAATCCTCCGAAGCTAAGCTATTTATTCCCCGGTACTATCTAATCGACCGGTCTAATTATCTTGGAACAGTATTCAAAAACACTCGAGGCCTGCACACCTGACTCCTCATGGATCCCAGACAGCTGTTGGTTTATCGATAAAAATCATCTGAAAGGTACTGAAACAGCTTCAACGATTCCTGTTACGATTAATCAGAAAGTATGAAAAGTTTCGAACGATTAAGTAGTTTCTCCATTTGGAGAACACTCGAAACGTTCGTTATTTTATCGGACAATTTTTCTACGATGTAATTAATATGTTATCGAAGATAGTTTCAGCAGGTGTTAACCCTTTTGTGAAATAATACCTCTTAATGAAATACATATTCTTTTTTTTTCAGGTGTTACAGTATGATCACTATGTAACAAGACATTTCGCCCTTTCATCGTTCTATTGCAACAGGTTGATTGAACATGTACTGTCCGAATTATTGATTTGATATATATTTTCAAATGCAACGTTGTTTTTTTCAAATATCTTTTTCTCGAAGTTTTCAAGCTCATCGATGTTTTTCCTTCAAATAACTACATATTTGTTTCAAGGTCACATCATAGTACATACCTGAATGTATGTTTTCCTAAATTTTTTCTCCAAGGGACGAAAAGGTGTCAGAATAAACGGGGATCAACATAATAATATAATATATATTTATTTTTTTTTACAATTTAATTGAAAAATTTTCGTTGGAACATAATTTCGCCAAATTCCGGAATCCACACGAGCGAAGCCGTGGACAAAAAGCTAGTTACAGTCGTTAATCAAATTATTACGAACAGATGGAGTAAATACGTTTTATAATAAAGAAGGTACTATTCCCAGTAGCACATGACATCTAATGACGTCTTGAAGAGAGCTTAAAGGCGTCTTAGACCTAAAATAGCCGTAAAATGGGCGTCTTCAAGACGTCATATGCTAACTCGGTTATAACTGCATTTACAATTTTGCATTTGATCAAAATAGAAGCGAGTGGTATTTCGATGTGTTTATAATAATTTGATCGCCCACTGTAACTTATAAAGTTTACGATCGACGAAGCTGCATCGATCAAGATCATTAATTTGATTTCGTTTCCGAATTCGTGTGCTCCGTCCTCGTCTCCCCTCCATTGGTTCCTGCATTAATCTCCTGCGAAATTCTCCTGTCGAATTTCCCTGTCCACGATGGTCCACGCACGAACATCCGTACTAATAGATCACGCACACACGTCGGGGCGATCGTGAACAGCCGATGATATACGAGATACCGCCACGATTCGTTCCTGGATCAATCAGTTCAAACAAAAATCGTAAATTTTTTTTTAGACACGTGATAATCAGATCCAACGACGTGCGTTAATCACGCGCGGATTAGTACAACACGGGATATCTCGGATCATTCGATCACTTAGATTTTACTCGAGAAGTGGTCAGGTGTTCCGTTGCAGGTATCACCGAATGGAAAAAAAAGAATAAACCGAAAGATAACACACACACACACACACGCAAGACGCGATAACGTGAAATTTCGAAGTCGTGTGCAAGTGTAGCACGATCGGATCGATCATTCGAATCGAACGGTGCAATCGAGAACAGGTAGGAGATCCATTAAATCGGTAACTTTGTGATTCTATATTAATTTGAAATATATATTAAACATATTAGAAACTTTATCGCGCCCCCCTATTTTGAATAAAATCAGTATTTTCTTTTAGGATTTTATCAATTTTTCAAACAGCTCCACGTGCTCCTGTTTCGATTTAATTGGCAAAGCTCTTTCGAATTCAATAGCTGACACCTACATACGTTCATCCTGCAACCTAATAAAATTTTTTCATTTGACGCTTTGTTTTCGAAATAATCGAATTTGAAAATCTGCTGGATACACGTGCAATTGAATAGAACTTTGCTAGCGCGTCTGTCCATTGAATTCCATTTCCCCTTAATACCATGAGCAATGCACGCGTTTCGGATTAATCTTCAAAGTGGATTTTCTCGAAAAGAAAGCTTCAAACGAAAAAAATGTATTCCATATTTTCGACATATTTCCCCGTGTAGAATCACTTCCTCTTTGGTGGTACCATCAATATTGTGACACCCTGTATAATAACTGGCTAAAGCTATTCAATGTTTTACAAATGTAAATTATAATCCGTGATACTTTTAAATAGCAGAACCCTGCGGTATTTAGCTAAGTGTCTCGCCTCAAAACCGCCGGCTGCGAATATGTTAATTTAATTAACACATTTATCATATAATCGTCACACTAGCATAGCCCCTTAAAACTGTGATCGGCCAACTGTTCGTCTGATTTGCCAGGTTTTACCATTTCTACAGTTCCCATTGAACTAACGTACTTGTAAAGTGCCGATGGATATTTGTCGAGTAGCGCCCCCTCGAAGACTTCGTAGATCCCCGGGTCAGGCAGCATTTCCGGATCGACAGCCTGGCCTACGGACCCGAAATACCGCGAGTACTCGGCGAAGTAATCACCGTAAAAGATTCTTGCCTCCTCTGTCATCGACCTCCTCATCGTCTCGAAGTGTTCCGCCTGCCGTGCCAATATATTGCTCCCAGTGACGAAAGAACCTGCGCGGAAAAGTTGTAGCAGAACCGACACGTCTCAAGCTATATCGCTTGATTATTTCAAGCTGTAGGTTTACATCACGATGGGTGAGAGAAAAGTATTTGTTCGACTTTTTCAAAATAATATTATACATGTTTCAATAATATTAGATGTACAAATTAATTCGTGGGCCCTATAATTAATCGTTCACTCAAAACTGTCATCATTTTTTCATGAGGGAAAAGCGTCAACTGTGCCCCAGAAATGGCGGAAATGGATAGAATGTGACGGGGAATATTTTCAAGACTAGACTGTATTTTATTTTTTTTTCTCTGTCAATGTGGTCACTTTTATGAGGCAAGTAATACGTTTTTTTTAAAAATATGATTTTCAGTTAAATATTAGGGATTGTTACCAGGCATTGAATTTTTTGTTCGTTTTTTAAGGAAAATGTAATTTTCTTTTCGATACTAGTATGATCTTTTAACAAATTCATTTAACATTGAAATATTAATATAGAATAAATTAGTGAACCAACGATTTTTAAGAATAGCTAATTCACATTTATAAAAATCTATTTCGCAGATCCATAATATTATTTGGCTAAATAAAGTCGATTTTCTTACTGTGAGAATATTTCTGTCGGAATTGCTTGGGTTAATAGCGATAAATACCGTTATAAATACGCTATATATCCGGCTCTCATATTTATAGAACGTACAAATACTTTTCTTTTTACACCACTGTAGCATGGTTTGTCAGTGTAATTACTTTACACTACTCGTTCGTTTCGCGTTAATCCACTCGGGAAGAAGACAAGAGTCCCTCCTGCGTCTTTAACCCTTTAACGGTGAAATTTTCGTTTGGAAATATGTAACCCATTCGTTTCCATTATTCTAATGAAAGAAATATATTTTTCAATCTTCACAAAAATGTCAATTTTTATAGCAAAAGATATTTTATTTTCTTTTCACACAACGAGTGTACTCGTCATTACCCCAAAAAATAGTCATTTCCTCACGAAACAAATATATTATTCGACACACCATTGAAGGATTAAAAAGAAATTAGTTTTACGAACAATACACAAGATCATAAATCAAACGATAGTACTAGTGATGGACGATACAGTATCGATATTTCAAATATCGATATTTCGCAACGATATTTAATGTGACGATATATTCTAGTATCCATACTTAACCCATAAATATCGAAGTTTCGATACAACCGTTGCATTTGCTGTAACGTAACGATATATTTCAAATATCGATCATTTTCAATTCAAATATCGATATTCCCCATCGATACTTATCCCATAAATATGGAAATTACGACACATCGCTGCCGTAACGTAACGGGTCGTAAAGAAAATAGAAACCAATCGCAAGTTTCCCATAAAGTTAGCGATTGATCGATTTCTTTTGCCACACTGTTACACCCGAGAATTTGCCTCGTTGCATATCTGCTTGAATAAATGATTTATTTTAATTTCTAGATTTTATCACTTCTAATTTATGTACAAGTATTGATGCAGATAATATCGATATTTTATCCCCGATTTACACGTGTATTAATACTCTCGGTATCAATACGTATCAATATTTAATATCGGTACAATTCAAATGTATCGCCATCACTAGATAGTACCATATCTATCTCAACCCTGATAAACCATCCTGCTGCACGCGTTGCTCGCACGCAATCGAAACGTGCGTTTATTTTTGTGAAAGTTGCATCAATATTTGCTGATTACAGACCAGGAATAAAGGAAACGACCTTGACGCCGTACTTCTTCAGCTCGATCCTGATGGCGGTCGCCCAAGCGTTGATCGCAGCTTTTGTCCCACCGTACGCCGCGACGCCTGGGATCGGTTGGATGTTACAGTGGCTCGAGATCATTATAATCCTACTAGAGTGCGCTCTTATCGTCGGCATCAGTTCACGGGTGATCCTCATCGTGCCAAGGAAGTTCACCTCCACTTGACTCCTGATCTGATCCTCCGTTTGCCATTCGAATTCCCCGAAGACCATCACCGCTGCGTTATTGATCAAGCATCGTAACTCTGAAATAAATAGATTCACCCGATATACACGATACGATCACCGTCGATCATTAAATACCACGCCTGGTTTAAAATTTTTTGTGGTGCAGAGCTATAAAATTTTCGGGGGTCCCCTTGGTTAAAAAAGGAAGGGGGGGGGGGTTCTTTGTAATACAGCACAACAAAATACATGAATCTTCCGAAATTCATTCTAAACAAATTTAAATATCATTTAATCCTAACGAACGCTTGATTGTAACAAACAATGCTTCGTTATACTTTAACAACTTTAATCCGATTTATTTCTACATTTAGTACAATTTTTAATTTCTTCAAAAGGAAAACAGTGAGCATAATTTCATTCAATTATTTTTTAACATAAACGGAAGGCTTAGATCGCCCCCCCCCCCCCCCCACACTTTTATTGATAGTTAGGCCCGGGGCTATGCAAGGACTTGAATCGATATGATTTTAATACCGGTATTATGCCATCAAAGCTATACCGAAACCGATATATTACCCGAAACCGAAATAAATCGTGGTATCTTTTCGGTTTCTATAAGGGTAGGGCTTATATAGGGTTATATAGGGTGAACGTTTAACCTAAAATACCGGTATAATATCGGTATTTTACGTTTCGGTAGAAGTCACTGGGGCTATAGGACCCCCTCTGCTTGTATATATCATTACCACCGACTTGTCCAGTTTATTACGAATGCAAACGGCGGGGGGCAGCAGTTTACCTAAATTCTCCCGCGTCAGAAGTGTTCGCACAGAGTCAACGAAATCGATTACGCTGCCAGTATTTGTGACGTCAAGAGGATAAACGTATACGTTCTTCCTCTGTTTCAGCTTTTCAGCCCCCGGGCCATCGTTTCGCAACACGCCGGCGATAACGGTAGCCCCTAGCTGGCAACAATGCAGGGCCAAACTGTAACCAAGCCCCGAATCGCAACCAGTCACGATGATCGCATGTTTCGGTCTTATTTTATCCCGAGACGTAATTCGTGAGTACAAGTAAGTCCCGCCTGAAACGAAAAAGAAACGAGATACACCGGAATTCATCTTTTGATAAATAATAATCAATAATTCGAGATCATCGTCGGTCACAATTTTGAAAAATTTGAGTTTATAGCCCTATTTGTCCTCTTTATGCACATATCCTCGAAAATATGGACACTTTAAAATTGGTTGTATGAAAATTAATTGAAGCTGTTCAAGCGCACCTACAAGTTCGGTAATAGAAACTGGTAAATCTCTGGACATTCAATTTTCTTCTAAACGACTAATCGTAAATGCCTAATTGCCACTGTATCATGTGTCTCTCTCAAAGTCATGAATCCCATTCATTGGACAGAGTTTCTGGACCACCATATGTGTAGAGCATAATCGTTATCTGTCACTCGGAACACAGAATACATATCATTTCAGTTTTGATCGGTAATACCGCTGCGCATCACAATTACAACGAGTCATCGAATTTTCTGCTGATGTCTGATTCCAATAGAAAGATAAATACATAGTTCACCGGTAAGTAGATAACGCGAGTGACGGTAACAGACCGATTCTATCCGAAATTCCATCACTTGTTTTACTAACACTCGTATTGACACTTAAACAATATAACTATATATATATAAAAGTTACTCAAAAGCTAAATATTAAACATAGCTTTTTACGTCTTCGTTAACTGTTGTTATATCCATTAAAATATACAATAGATTATTGACAAAAGTATTGTATTTGCAAGCGCGGATTTTCGAAACGCGTCAGGTATTTCCTTCTTATCCAATAAGTAGACAGCGAAATATTTATTCGAAATAGAAAATTTTACAAAAATTTGTCTCACCCTAAATTAATTTTTTGTATAAAAAGTAAAACAAGTGATGTATATTACATTGCTCTTTTAATGTTGATACTTTCTATAAATGCATAAAATTTGTAGTCTACCGACGAAACACGGACAATCACAAAATATATCCAAGTTTAATTTTAAACCTAACAAAAGAAATATGTTCCAGAATAAAAAGAAATTGTTGATTTAATCGCGAGACTTTTTTTTTACTTACCGATGCAACACAGAGAAATGGCCGACGCCAGGTACTTGTGCCCCCTGTTCCACGAGTAAACAAGTCCGAATGAACTGGCTAAATCGATCGCAAATATCGTGGAATGCCTTCGGAAGTATTTCACTAATCCCATCGTTGAATTAGAAAACTTAACGTTGACGGTAAGTCACCCCAAAAGTAACACTGTCCTTCGTACCCGTTACTTTATTAATACAATTCACCACCGTAGATTCTATATTTCAATCACTATCGTAATCAACATAAAAAAAAAAAAAAATAACACAGTATCAATTTCTCAAGTCTTATTCAAGAAGTAACCACCAATATTACACTTTAAATAATCACAACTAAACTGCGGATATTGTTTCTACACATTTGTATTTTTAGAGACTATTTTACAAACACCAGACTTCATTCACTAATTACGACGTATATTAAATGAAAAATAAAGTAGAAACTATTAATATCCGCCCAAAGCCTTCGGTTCACTGTGGTTCCCACGGTTCTGTAAATTGCATAGAATTCGAGGTCTAATTCTAGTAATGTAGTATTTATTAGTCGGGAATATTTCAAATTGTAAACAGTACCCACTACCTATAAGGTTGATCAACAGAAAGCAGAGATTACCCTTAAAACCACTTGGTCACCACGCATGAGCAACAGGTAGGTATCCGAGTGTCGACAAGCGAGTCGAAACGATCGTATCCTCGTCCTGACCGCAAATGGCTGCTGGTGTACGTGAAAAGAAAGAAAATCGAACCTCCCCACTCTACCACTCCTAAGTTGCGATGTTCCTTTTCCGAAATTCAAACGATAGGGTTGAGATCGTCTCTCACAGAAGCCCAAGATCGTTTTATAGTCGAAGATATTCATTGGACGCGCTCCAGAATTACATCTTATGTATACAGGGTGTTAATTTTAATTCGAACACCTAAATTATTTCCGCTATTTAAAGTAAGGAAAAATGACTAAATAGAATGTACATGGTTTTAAGGCATGCATCTGATGGTGATAAAATATTTTTTACTTCTTATTACGTTTATTTACTTCCCAGATAGCACATGACGCCTTGAAAACGGCTTAAAGACGCCTTAGACTTAAAATAACCGTAAAATAGGCGTCTTTAAGGCGTCATGTGCTATCTGGGTTCTTCATTCTTCAAACTGAAGCTGATTTCTTCGCCTTCAAGATCATGGTGTGTAGGTCGTTGAACTCATTTTGACGCCGACTACCACATCGCGTTATAAAAAATACATTTAATATGCAAAAAAATACGATGACCTTGAAAAAACCGTTAAAATGACCTTTACAGACGTTTTGTATTACCATCAGATTTTTTTAAAACCATGTGTATCCTATTTAGTCATTTTTTCTTACTTTCAATAGTAACGGAAATAATTTAGGTGTTGGAGTTAAAATTAACACTCTGTATACTTCTGATCATGTTTAATGGACAGTGACTACAAAAAGAAAATCCTACAAAAACATAATTTTCAAAACAACCCTTACAGATAAATATCATTTACCTTTAATACAGTAATTTTGCAAACAATGTATTTATTATCATGTGCACATTTCTCAGTCTGTCTATGCAAATACTCAGTGTTTTTTATAGTTTAGTAGTTTTAGAAAGAATTACTGTAATTCTTAACATGTAACTTTTAAAAATGCGTGGAATTATATACATATAGTTACCTCAATTTGTTTGTACAAGAAAATCTGTTTATCCTTCGATACAAAGAATGATTTCTAAACTTCTAGATGAGAATATGGGCTGAGAAGAGATACTGACAATAGTATGTATCGTTGAATCGGGATTATTGAGCAGTATTGTTGGGTGTGTGAGGTACGTCGAAGGTTGCCCAAGAGATTTTAATATTTCATGAGGAAATGTTTCTCGGATCGGTCACTAGATTCTAATTTGAATTGCGATCACGGCCACATCTCGCGCGGATAAATAGAACGCCGTGGATTTTCGAAATACTTCCTTCCTACTGCGTACATTCCATTGGATAAACATTAACACCGCTTGGAACACTTTAAACGATGTATTTTCTTCTTGCTCCAATTATACAGGAATTTTCGTCCGTTGAATAAGACTCGAAGATATTAAAGTTTTTCACTGATGATTTCACTAAGAATGTTAATCATTAAATCTCATTGTCAGTTTTCTATTTCGTACTATAATCCCGTATAGAAAGTTACAATAATGGAAACGATAATAATAATCTGTTCCTAATTAAACTCCACAAGTATAAAATTCCTGTTAACTGCAACATATACCGATTGACAGCCGTATTTATTTTTTCGCAATTTCGTACGATAATATAAGAAAGAACTAGCGGTTTGTATAATCATTTATGCAACGTTTTTGGAAAAAGTTCGTAAATTTTTACAGAGCGAAATATACAATACAGTTATAAGGCATACTTTACACAAAAATTAACAAACATTACGGTTAACAGTACACTGTGTCTTAATTTAATTATTCTCGAGTGAAATCATACTTCAGTCGACATACAAAAAATTTGACTGATAAATAATTAGACTGTTATATTACAAGCGTCGTGATCCTAGTGGGTCCCCTTTTCGAAACGTCCCTCGAATGTTTGGAGTACATTAAATACCGGCGGGTTGGTCGTCGACTATGATATGCGGATTTGCATGCAGATCGTAGCTCGGATCTCCGTCTGTAGCCATTCTACCCAACCAGGAGAATAGAATTAAAATTCCAATAAAAGCTAGAACGCCCATGATACCTATCACCGCGTATCTTTTATACAATGGCCCAGGCGTATTCCTGCGCCTTGCTGGTGGACTGGCTATCAGCTTCCACCACCTTGAGAACCACTCCATGGCTGACTTCCTCTTGTATTTATTCTCATCGTGATCGAAGGAAATCTCTTTTGGATCGTCGTAAGCCTCGCAAACTTTTCGCGACGTTGGAGTGGTCAATCCCATCGAGGAATCTATATTTACAATGGAGTAAGGTGGACCAATTTTTTGGCTGTTTAAATGCACACTGTTGATATTGCTATGTACTGAATTGACAGTGCTAGCAGTACGTGAAGTGGCTACTGTAGGGGACGATGAAGTTGCTAACGTGTGATTTTGATACGACGTAGATTCAACTCTTAGCGATGGACGTTCTTGTTCTGGCTTTTGTTCTCTGTCTTCGCTGAGCTGGAAAGGAAATAATGCTGAATATTTGTATGTTGCTTTTATGAAGTAGGTAGTATGTAAAATTGTTTTGAAATATGTACCAAAGGTAAACCCAGACCAGCTCGTGCCCAGTTAACTCCAGCCAGTTTTTCTCTTAACACATCTGCTACAGGGGATACTAACTTTGAGTCTGGAAAAATACATTCCTTGCAACCTGGACACGTGTATCCTGCTGGTGCTGTCGTTGCTGGCAGTTCTCTAGCGTATTTGTCTAAACATGCCCAGTGGAACATATGGTAACATGTTAATCTAACACAATCACCTTCACTTAAGTTCGTGGAGCATAATGTACAGACTGGATTGTAGTCATGATCATGGAGCCATGAAATATACGATTGCACAATACACTGAAAAAGTATAACAAAATTTTAAGACACAAGTAAAATGGAACAAAAGAAAATGGAAATGAGAATTTGCATAGTTATTCAGAATCTAACAATCATACATCTAAAAAATGATTTTCATTATCAATAGTATACGTATAGCAATCCAGTAACACAGTTGAACTAAACATATAATAGAGATAAAGTGTTGATGTTTGAGTTAGTGATGATGTGTCAATTATTCTACAAGAATTATAAAAATACCACAACATTAGATAAAACTAATTTACTTTCATAGAATCTCTAATACTCTAAATGGTATATCAACTTTAAATCACATCTAACACTGATACAATACCATTACATCATCGAAAAAAAACATTGACAGACTAATTTAAATTTGTCTAATTTTATTAAACACAATTTAAAATACCTTTGGATGGTTTGTAACCATACAATGCTCGCAAACATTGACACGGTGTTCAAAACAAAATAGATTTGTTACTCTTCGTTTCGGACACTTGCACAGCCCCATGTTTCACCGAAACAACGCGTTCACAACATTAAATAACTTAGAGCAATGAGATAAAAGACTAGTAATAATGAATACTTTTACAAAAGGAATCTTTCACATGACACACCGCGATCTCATGACGATTTCAAGCTGCATTATAGTATGACACCAGCCTCCATGTTTCATCGGCCACGTCGTCTGACATATTCTACGATAAATAAAGCAGAAAGAACCAATCAAATTGTTCCTTTGGTTGTCCACCTGCAAATCAACTATCGTTTTTGGAAGATTTGTAAAGTCTGTTCAAACATTTGTCAGTGCATGGAATACTTCGATTAGAAAATGTTCCAAAAATATCTATTTACAGAATGGTCAAATTAGTTGAACTGCAAATAGCATAAATTTATCAGTTGAGATAAGAACTCTTTCTTATGCGGTACTATTCAAAGACAAAACGCCCTTTATGTTTATATGTTGTTCCATTATTTAACATTTCTTCACCTTTTTTAGATCAATTCAATCCATACTGTACATTAACAATTATCGGATGTATCATTTTTATTTAATATTCCGTCTTTTCATGCAGAATAGAAACAATTATTGTTCCGTGGCGTCATCTACGGCAAAACGCCTAAAGCTACTATCCAATTAGTATTATCACATACGAGGTATAGTCTGTTTATTGCACAGGTTGTATAGGTCTATTTTAGTAAGTCTATTTTATTAATTATTAATGTAATTAAGCGCCCAAAATGATCATCGTCGGTCTCAAATTATTTCTGACGACTTAATGCGTAAACCCAATACTGCAGAACACCAGAATTAGTACAATTATTTATGCTACTATTAACGTTGACTCCTTATGGAGTGGCAACCCTACCAAGCACATGTTTGGATTGCCAGTATATCACGTCATGCATACCCCGTTTAGTTCACTTTAGACAGCTGTTACACCGTTATACGGATAGCTTTCGTTTAGATACAGCACTCGATTTGTAGCTGAAAGAACGTAGATTAATCCGCTGCCATTAAAAATAATAATAAACGACCAGAACACTGTCAAAATCGCATTTAATTGAGGAATACCACTATTTTTTCGACCGGTGGCGCCACCCGTGGCAATTCGTTCAAACTGCTAGCCAAATTATATCGACAAGTGAGTGAAAATTTCTAGTGATGGAAAAATGCAAATATCTCAGTAATTAAGCACTTAAAATGAACGTCATTAGTCTCAAATTGTCCCTCAGGCATTAATGCATGGACCCAATAGTGCAGAACCCCTGAATTAGAAAAATTAGTTATGCCTGTATTACCGTAGCCCCTTATGGGGCGGCAACCCCACTTGCAAAAGATTTCGATCGCATTTACACCGCTCAACGGGCATGATTCTTCTTCGTCTTGCATTAGATACAACGTTTAAAGAACGTAGATTACTATTCTCTATCGGCTGGAAACCAGTAATTACAAGAACATTGTTAAAATCACGTTTGTTTGCAACGGTTGGCACTGTACCTCGTCATGCGTACCCCGGTTAGTTCACTTCAGACTAGTCTTCCAACGATATACTGACAGCTTTCGTCTTGACCAAGCCTTCCATTTATAACTTGGAGAACGTTGATTAATCCCCAGTCATTTATAATAACAATAAGTGACCAGAACACTGTTAAAATCGCATTTAATCGTGGAATACCACTATTTTTTTGACCGGTGGCGCCACCCGTGGCGAATCGCTAAAACTGCTAGCCAATTATAGGCTAGCAGTTTCAGAGATTCGCCACGGGTGGCGCCACCGGTCGAAAAAATAGTGGTATTCCGTAATTAAATGCGATTTTGACAGTGTTCTGGTTGTTTATTATTATTTTCAATGGCAAGGGAATAATCTACGTTCTTTCAGCTTCAAACTGAATGCTTGGTCAACACGGGAGCTGTCAGCATAACGTTGGAAGAGTAGCCCAAAGTGAACTAACCGGGGTACGCATGGCGAGATACAGTGTCAACCGTTGCAAACAAACGTGATTTTAACAATGTTCTTGTGATTACTGGTTTCCAGCCGTTAGAGAATAGTAATCTACGTTCTTTAAACGTTGTATCTAATGCAAAACGAAAAAGAATCATGCCCGTTGAGCGGTGTAAATGCGATCGAAATCTTTTGCAAGTGGGGTTGCCGCCCCATAAGGGGCTACGGTAATACAGGCATAACTAATTTTTCTAATTCAGGGGTTCTGCACTATTGGGTCCATGCATTAAGGCCTGAGGGACAATTTGAGACTAATGACGTTCATTTTAAGTGCTTAATTACTGAGATATTTGCATTTTTCCTTCACTAGAAATTTTCACTCACCTGTCGATATGATTTGGCTAGCAGTTTGAGCAAATTGCCACGGGTGGCGCCACCGGTCGAAAAAATAGTGGTATTCCGTAATTAAATGCGATTTTGACAGTGTTCTGGTTGTTTATTATTATTTTCAATGGCAAGGGAATAATCTACGTTCTTTCAGCTTCAAACTGAATGCTTGGTCAACACGGGAGCTGTCAGCATAACGTTGGAAGAGTAGCCCAAAGTGAACTAACCGGGGTACGCATGACGAGATACAGTGTCAACCGTTGCAAACAAACGCGATTTTAACAATGTTCTTGTAATTACTGGTTTCCTGCCGATAGAGAATAGTAATCTACGTTCTTTAAACGTTGTATCTAATGCAAATCGAAGAAGAATCGTGCCCGTTTAGCGGTGCAAATGCGATCGAAATCTTTTGCAATTGGGGTTGTCTTGTAGTTAAGTGAAAAAATATATACTTTTATGTTTCATGTTTCATGACTGTTATATTTATCCCTTAACCTCAAACTGAAGCATCAGATATTTTTATTCCCGTGAAATCATATAGATACACGCAATATGAATGGAATATATAACACTTCATTTGTGCTAATAATACTCAAAATTCATGCTTTATCGGTAACGTCGGGTATTGACATTAAAATGGTAACAGGGTTACATAGCCCTAGGAACGTGTGACAGAAAAAAGCATTGGATGATAGGTATATTTTATACCTAGTCGGTGGTGATATCATATACAGTGAAGGAATAATTAGAAACAATGAAGAATAATGAATAAATTAATGATTATAAATGATAATCTACATGTTACTTAGCAAATCATTCGTTTAGAATTTCTTGTTTCTTCTACCGATTTTTATAAACACGTATAGTAATGTAATTCATCGTAAAATCATATTGAATACGTTTTTCTGTTTAAAGATCAAGAACTTACGATCACAGTGAGCAAATTCACTCAAGATAAAAAAATCGCAATCACGGTCGTGAATGAAGTTAAATCACGACCGTGATCGTGATTTGGCGACACTGTGATAAATCACCGTTAGTGATTTTGCACGCCATCTCTAGTAACAACAAGAGTTAAAAGGATTGGATTATTTCTACAGACTTTTAACTTAAATAAATATAATAGCAATGGTAGAGAAATAACAATTGTAGCTGTTATTTTTAAAATGAAACTGTAGAATATGCAATGCGTAATAATGCGACTTAAATGTATCTAAATATATACGCATTTTTAGAAATGAAGATAAAACGCGGCAACATTAAAGTTGTGTTAAATTCGTGAAATGTCTCATTTTATGTATACCAAAATCTTACGACTAAGTTTTTTTCGTGTAATAATACATATTTCTTACTTTACATGTTTGGCTAAATGCATCGACACACAACTTTCACCAGAAATATTTCAAGGATAATTTTACTATCATCTAGTCTAACAATTAAGTATATGCGGTTTCAAGATTCTCGCTGTTGCCGAGAATATAATAATAAGGAAAAAAAGAGTTGAAAGTAGAAAATAATCGTCCTCATTTAGCTCCGATTCGAATACATTCATTATTTCTGTGACATACACTTATCGGTCGCGTTTTATTAGCAGATTTCGTATTGAATTTTTTTTTCTCTTTGTTTGTTGACAGTCCAATCAATAACGTGTATGTAAAGGAGACTTCTTATACTTAACTGGAGTATAAAACGCATTTGATATATTGTGTTACTTATTTCTAATTCATTTTGAACGCCTCGTGCATCGAAATATCAAGTTTCGTTCTTGTATTTCGTTTGAAGTACACGTATTTTCGTATATTTTCGTGTGGTTTCGGTACAGTTTGTTGTAAAGCAGCCATTTCTCTTGCCTATATGTAAGGTCACAAAACAGGTGCTTCCGGTCTGTGTCAGAAATCTGTTTTGAACGCCTTTGACTTATCGTATATCGTCTGTGGTGTACAAGTAAATCTAAACGCAGCTAAATGTTAATTTATGACGACCGTTCACGCGGAAATACATTGCGACAACTTCTACAGCTTTGCGAATAGTAACACGACGACGAGTATAATGCCGTTGGCGACTTTGACGGTTCCTTGGTCCGATCAAAAGGTAAATGAAAAGGTAACGTAATCCCTCTTGTCAAAACAATTGATCGTTTTCAAGACAATTTCATTGTAATTCATGATAGATAAAGTACAACAGAAAGATCATACGTGACAATCGTCTCCATTATTCAGGACCCTGTAGACATTCTTCCAGCTGAATCTCAGGAGGAAGCAATGATTACACAGGAAAATGCAGCTGGATCACTTTCAAATGGTTGCTCCGAGACACATGAAATCGAAGTACGAGAAGTGGTAAGAGATGGTCACGAAAAGGCAGATCCATCTCAGTTCGAACTTCTCAAAGTTCTTGGTCAAGGCTCATTTGGAAAGGTATTCATATTCGCTATGCATTAGAAAAGAAGTAACATTCGCTAAGCTGCATTCTTTCACAAATAAAGTTCTTCGGTTATTTAGGTGTTCTTAGTGAGGAAAGTTGTTGGTAAAGATAGTGGAACTGTTTATGCCATGAAAGTTCTCAAAAAGGCTACATTAAAAGGTGTTTATTCAGTTAAATGTACGAGAGTAACTCTGAAAGTTTCAAAGTTAGAGACCAATCTATAAGAATATTTATTCTGTGTCAATTCATGAAAACTTCCAGAGCAATTCTCACCTTATGAATCTTTTTCTTTGTTTTTTTTTTCAAATGGTTTAATGTTTTGATATTGTCTCAGTACAGGACAGACTTAGAATAAAATTGGAGAGAAATATATTGGTGGATGTTGAGCATCCATTCATAGTTCGGCTGCATTATGCATTTCAAACAGAAGGCAAACTGTATTTAATTTTAGACTTTCTGAGAGGTGGTGATCTGTTTTCAAGATTAGCCAAAGAGGTAAATTTCAATTGTTGGCATAGATTTACCTTACAAGAGTAATCGCTAATCTTTATAATGATTGTTGTAGGTAATGTTTACTGAGGATGATGTAAAGTTTTATTTAGCTGAACTTGCTCTTGCATTGAGTCATATACATAAGCTTGGAATTATTTACAGAGATCTCAAACCAGAAAAGTTTGTATTACTTTATTTAGAAGTTATTTTCATTCTATGATTCGAAAAATCTAATAGAGTACCTTTTATTTGTCATAGCATTCTGTTGGATACTGAAGGCCATATATCTTTAACTGACTTTGGTCTATGTAAGCAGTCTTTAGATGATTCTAAGACATATTCCTTTTGCGGTACCATGGAATACATGGCACCGGAAGTTGTTAATCGAAAAGGGCATTCACTTGTCGCTGATTGGTGGAGCTTCGGTGTTCTTATGGTTAGTCGTATTACCAAGACAGAACTACTAACTGTACTTACAAGTTCATTCTAAAGAAAATAAGTTGTCAATTTTTAGTTTGAGATGTTAACTGGAGTTCTTCCATTCCAAGGCGTTAATCGCATGGAAACAATGACACAAATATTAAAGGCAAAGCTTACTATGCCACCAAACATTTCCCCAGAAGCGCAAGCGCTTCTCAGAGTACTCTTCAAGAGAAAACCTGCAAACAGAATTGGATCTGGTAATCGTCTACGTTTATCTGTAACTAAAACGACAATCTGCTACTGTCTTTGTGGACTGATGTATTATATTGGTAGGTGGAGTAGAAGAAATCAAAAGCCATAAGTTCTTCGCGACAATCGATTGGGATGCCCTGTATATGAAAGAAATTAAACCTCCTTTTAAACCAGCCGTTAGTCAAGATGACAATGCATTTTATTTTGATACTGAATTTACATGTAAAACGCCTAAAGGTATTGCGAATAATTATTAATGTTTTTGATACTCATTATCGGATACAGAAGACCAAAACTCGGAAAATATTTCAGATTCGCCTGGAGTGCCGGCAAGTGCTAATGCCCACGAATTGTTTCGCGGCTTTAGCTTCGTCGCGCCGTGCCTTCTCGAGGATCACAATAAAGCACCCGAATACAAAAAGTGTGATAGTCTCAACGCAATGTTTCCGACTTACGTGAGTCCCATCTATGTAACCGACGAGTACGAATTTAAGCAAGAAATTGGTAAAGGAAGTTACAGTACGGTCTATTTAGCTGTTCATAAGGCGACCAAAATCGAGTATGCAGTAAAGGTACTATATACTAATGTCGGATTGCATTAGGTCATTGTTGATTGTTGGTTAATAATAATTTTATCTATAGGTAATTGACAAGTCGAAAAGAGATCCAACGGAAGAAGTAGAAATTTTGCTTCGGTATGGAAGACATCCGCATATTGTAACGTTACGAGCTGTCCATGAAGACGATAAACGAGCTTATCTCGTGTTAGAACTGTTGAGAGGTGGGGAACTACTCGATCGTTTATTGCAGAGACGTAATATTACAGAAAGAGAAGCTGCCGAAGTGATGTACACAATTACTAGTGTAGTTCATTATCTGCATGAAAATGGGGTACATATTGATCATTCATTCCGCTTGCTGTTAATTTTCACATGTTACATGGAATATTTCTAATTGGTAGGTGGTCCATCGGGATCTAAAACCATCTAATATATTATACTCAAAACCGGGAGCCGATCCCACGACACTTTGCTTATGCGATCTCGGGTTTGCGAAACAATTGAGAGCCGAAAATGGTTTATTAATGACCCCCTGTTACACAGCAAACTTTGTAGCACCGGAAGTGTTGAAACGTCAAGGATATGACGCGGCATGCGACATTTGGTCACTTGGTGTTCTATTATACATAATGTTGGCTGGGTAATTGCATCACCTTTCGATTAACACCTTCAACGTTGAAAGATCATACGGTATTAATAACATAGTTTTTCCACATTAGATATACTCCATTTCGCAATAGCCCAGGGGATAGTGCCACTGACATATTAGATCGTATCGGGCCTGGTCACATCGACACTGAAACTGGTATATGGTGTCAAATTTCAATCGAGGCTAAAGAATTGGTGAAAAGAATGTTACACGTAGATCCTAATCGAAGGCCTACCGCAGCTTCCATTTTAAAGTATCCGTGGATTACCAATCGCCATCGTCTTCCTCAGAAACTGTTATCGCACACAGCTAGGGATCCACATAGCTTAAAAGTATGTTGCTCTATGGGTTCAATACACAGGATGCTTTGCACATGGGCGTAATTGCTAAAAATATATTTTCAGAGAGCAGTAACGGAAGCGTATAAAGCAATGTCTAATAGTCCAAGATCTCCTCATATTGGCCCGGTTGTTATGTCCGACCTAGCTCGTCGAAGAACGCAAGCTAAACCGTCGGGTCCTACCGAAGTTTAAAAAAAAATATTATCCATTCTACACGAGTGAAAGTTTCAGAGTAGGACAGTATCGAATAAGGATCTAACAAGGGAACCGTACGATACGTTATACACCAATTTTGATAAAACTTTGTGAATTAGGATGTCCGCGATATGATTCCCATTGTTATGTATTTCCGTTGAGTTTCATCAAAACGTAACACATTCTGCGGTTCCCTTGTAAGTTCGAAGAAATCTGCCACGCACACGAGGGGTACATTGCGCTAAAAAGTACAAGGAGAAGACTTTAATGTCGCTACGACTATTAATCTTATTACATTGCTACTTCTACTAATTATTGTTATTCTAACATCTATGGAATGTAAGTGAGTATCTATATTGGATCGATGAACATAATGTGATATATATATTTATTTATATATTTTTTTTTTTATGTTAAACGCGTGTGTATGCATTTATACATGTATGCATTGCCATACTGAGACTTAACATACCCTAATCATAGCAACCAAAACATAGTAATTTAAAATACGAGATATTCCTTAATTACATTCTTATTTTAGTTACCCTAGTTAATTAGAATTCTTTCGTTACATTCTTATTTTTGCGAAGCGTCTACGGATATACATGTATGATATACGTATATACAGAAAAAAAGAAGACTATATATTTTGTCAATCTAAATCTAGTATTTCTTGTGCAATGTTCAAATGTAGCTAGTACATGATAATTTTATAAGAGTGCCGTTACTGATAAAAATTATTCTAATTCTAATTACCAAAATTGTCTCTATTCTGGTTGAAGAAATTTCTGTATGTCTATATAGAATAGAATACATATTTACATTCATATTTTCGATTTTAATATAATACGAAAAGAAAGAAATACCGGATTATCGGAAGAAATTTGAAATCTATAATCTGTATTGTAAATGATTATCATTGAAATATCGAAAATGATAATGAATATATGTGAAAAGTATATATATTTAATAAATGCAAAGATAAAATACGTTCACTGTACTCTTTGATCTCTACTTTTTTTACAAATATTATTAATTATAATAGTTCTGTTTACGTTGAAATTAAAGTAATTTTTACACAAAAACTGTTTACGTAATTATTTACACAAGCCACGATACGACGATATTGACATTTCTACTATGTATCTCTCTGTTATCAAAGTAACATATATTTTTATGGGAGTCCTATCTTCCTTTTAGAAGCAGTAACTTGTAAAGAGGGGACATTAAACGAAGAAATAAAATTAGAGTGTCTTAAAAGTATATTGTCTTTACTGCGTAGATTGTATTCCTTGTTAAATAAACCACTAAAAAAAATCATCGGACCAAATCAAACCAAATTCAATCTACACAATTGACGTGATCTCGTGTCTGCATTACATTCTGATGGTCTTCTAAGATGAATAACAATTTCTTTAAAATATCGAAAACTTTTTGCGTGCAAACTTATAAATACATAGTTTATATAACGTTAAAATTAAATACATGTAATTTCTGTTGATCACGCGGGAACAATACAAGGTATTCTTAATTCACGATGCGGCGAAATAAGGCGCATGCGCTGGTTATTAAATGAAAACGTGGTAAGCTGTTTGTTTCATGTTTCCCCGGACCGCGGAACTCTCAGCTTTTCTTCGGCTGCATTTCTCGATTTTTGCTATAAAATTTCGTAAGTTTCATTTTCTACAAAGGTAAGACATTCTTTATCATCTTTCGAATGTTCAGTTCTTTAACTAAACGGGGTATACGAGTGGGTAACTGTGATGTGCAGTGGAATCGATTCGTTCTTACGAATTGCTGCTGTACTGTGCAGTTCTTGGTCGTATTTGATATATTTTAACGAAAGCAAAATAGAGTACATGTTCCACTTGTCTTCAGTCGGACAACAGAATCGTTTCGGTGTGTAGTGATTTGAACACGCCAAGATTTTCCTCGTCCTATCCGACGTGCACTCCCGTAATAGAACTCGCACGATTTGCGGTATGTTTTCCTCTTGAAAATCAATATTTCGAAGGGCCCGCAATCTAATTTCACCCCATGGCTCATGTGTCTCGACGCGCTGATTGCGGTACCAGTTACGTCCACTGAAATTCTCTGGTTTTGATATTACGAGCTCGTGATTTTGCTGATATTTCTATATAATTATATTTCCGGCTTTTGCGATCAGCTGTTCTTCGTTTGTCGCATAGTTGCCCGTCTGCGCTCTTTGGTTTGTGTATCCTCGTGCACGTCTCTTTAAACATTTGTGCTGTATTTAATTAAATTCGCTTGGTGAAAACGTTCACGAAAATTCGTGTTTAAACGTTTTTCTTGATATTAAGGATTTTTCGAATCATAATGGATTTTATCTGAAGGTTTTCATTTCTTTTGTAGCTTCTGAAGATGTTTAGATGAGAGTATATAATTCTTTTAAGTATGATATCATTTTCCATTCTTAGAACATTTGCCACAGGTATGAAATGACAACACAGCTAAACCAAATTTAAGTAATATATAGGTTTAGATGATGCTATGTTTAACTCTGCAATGACAGTTATTATTTTTAATTGTACGAGTCCCTGCATGCCGCTTTAGAGTTGACGATCAATACTGTATCACTTCACATTGAAACTCAGTTATTGTATCATGATTATTTCTAGGTGTTTGTAATATGCTTCAAAAAGGTCCACGTGCATTGGTTTTATGTGGGCCATCGGGAAGTGGAAAGAGTACACTGATAAAGCAGATGTTCGAGGAATTTCCAGAGAAGTTTGGCTTCTCTGTTTCTCATACCACTAGGAAACCCAGGCCTGGCGAAGAAGATGGAAAGCATTATTATTTTACAAACAAAGAAAAAATGCAGAAACAGATAGAACAGGGTGAATTCCTCGAAACTGCCACATTCAGTGGAAATTTGTATGGCACTAGGTAAATTGTTTGTAGAAAATAAATACGACAATTTGTCTGTTTTTGTTAACACACGTTTGATATGTTCAGTAAACGAGCAGTGGAAGATGTACAGAGAGAAGGTAAAATCTGTGTATTAGATATTGACATGCAAGGGGTGAAACAGATCAAGCAAAGTTCTTTAGATCCAATCTATGTGTTTGTTAAACCACCATCCATGGATGAGCTAGAGAAAAGATTACGAGATAGGCAGACAGAAACAGAAGAGTCTTTGCAACGTAGATTGTCTGCTGCAAGGACAGAAATAGAATACGGTATGTATGCATTCACTATCTACAGTGTACATGCAAAACAAGAAGATGATAACACACTTAATACTCGTCATAGGTGAGAAACCTGGTAACTTTGATATGATCATTATAAATGACAACCTTCCTAAGGCTTATGAAGAATTAAAAGAATTTATACTTACAAACATACAACAAAAATCGGAAGCAGGTACAGTATATTATAGAAAAATATGTTTATCCCCTAGAATCATCATCTGAAATCATTCGTATTTGGACGTTTAATATTGTTACAGAATCTTAAATGAATGCTTCCCAAGGATATACACTTTACTTGATATTAGATCGTAATTATTTTTCTACATCGTTATGTGACACATAGTAATCAGTGGTTACTATACGATGAAGTGCACGACGAAACTCATGTCCAAAGGACGAATCGCGGGATTTGAGAATAATGTTAGGTAGATAATTTTATACAGTAGTAAGTTGATTTTAAATATCGAAGAGTAAGTATTGTATAGGTACAGTACGCTTGAAATTTTTTATGCGTAGAATAATATAAAAATTCGACTAATAATTACTTAACTAGAAACACGTATTAGATGGAAGTTATAAATTCCTACAGTTTTTGACTAAAGTGAAGGGAAAGAATAGACCGATGTTAAGCTCTTTCAGTGATATTATTCGCACTCGTACAGATAAATGTTTCGTTTCATACAAATACCAAAAACACACGGTACAATTTTTCGAGTTGCAAATTAACATTTATTACCCTAAGAAACTGAAAGCTTGCACATCGTACAATTTCTTGGACAGAAATGACGGATGAGTATTCATTCGTTTGTTCTACAGTTTTACACGTTGTATGCTTGTTGAATACCGCCAGAGGGAAAAGAAATTTTATTTTTGCACGTGCAAAACCCTTAACACGGCGTACTGTTAAAATGATGAAGATGTATATGAGAGGTTGCGGTTGTAAGAATCTAAAATTGTTACTGTTTACGCGTGTCTTATAGCTGGTTTAACTGGTACCTGTACACAGTGACGTGAAAAATTTGTTACGATTCCAAGTGATAGCTAGACGTCTCGACGACTTACGTTACAGTAAAATAAGTGTTTGCATGTTGTACAAGTGTTTTGATTCAGTTCGATTACTTGGTGTCGGTGGTATGCCAGGGCGTGAAATGATTCTATATAAACGATATCTGACTGAACGTAATTGCGGAGGACTGACAGTTCGCGTGAAAACGGAACTGTAGACACAGATTAGATATCCGAAAGGGGGAGAAGATGAAAAATTGGATAATTAAATATAAATATTCTAGATGTAGCTAACTGAGACTATTCACCAAACGAAGTTGTGTTCCAATAGCGTAGGTTACTTATAAAAGTACTTGTGGTTTTGTCCCTGGTACTCGTCTTTATATCAGAAGTCATATACAAGTTCATTAAAACCATTCAGAATTAATTCATAGACTCAGTCGTATTCGATGTATCATGTCTCATCCAAGTGAAAAACAAACGAAAGTATATTCGTACACGGACATTCCTTTTAAGAATAATCGTTTAACTTTTCGAACGCGTAGTCTTTCACACGCGCGTTATTCATCGTGAACGTTTTCTCGAGAGAAAACTTTCGTTCCAAAATTAACCAACGAATTGCACTCTCACGACTCCCGGGAGAGAAAAAATGAACAACATTTTCGGAAGTTCTTCGCCTCACCATCGTTTCGCGTTTTTCCATACATCACATTCGCGTATGTTCTATTCACACATTTCAAGAATTATCCTCGTCGACATGTCTGTCGAACATTAAGCAGATGATTGTTGCTTCCACGATCGCGAGAGATGAATATTTTCCTATACATGGTTATCATTTATCAATACATGTATGGTTGAATCGTATAATAAGATAACGATTAAGTAGAGAGAAAATAAACGTAGCCGACGTATGTACACGTTGTTATAGCAAAATTGTACTATTGTTGTAGCATAATATATTGAATAAACATGTCAAAAAACAACTTATTGCAGAACCGTCGACGTTCCTGTATCCTTAATGAATTCTCCAACATTAGATGTACAAAGTGATTCAAAATGTGGACATGACTCTCAGTGATGTGACAGTAAAAATAGGTAAAGCTTATTAAGTTTACAATAAGAACATCAACTTCATAAACAATAAAATTTGTCCTACAACTTCATAAACAATAAACAACGTTTGAGGATCCTCTAGTTGCCCCAAGTACCCAAATGATTTCGTTTCACCTTACCCACACGTATCGGTTATCTTATAAAACCACCGACAATCAAAACAACAATCAAATACAATAAACACTTCTACTAATATTTCCCATTACTATTACGTGCTGAACTTCACGTTCCTGCTGTTTACAGGCACACAATTTACTTCATACGGATCTCACATCCTCGACATCTTCGATACCCAACCCCTTACGACTGATGACGTTTGGAATAATCGCGTTTCGGCCATTCCCCGTGATGATGCCGTGTCTTGTGCCTGGGCACCTCGCTGACCTCGATCGACGTCACCTTCACGTCCTTTCCCTCCTGTTCCTTCACCTCCTCGCGAATAAGATTGTCCCCGTAGCTTCTAGGCACGGGCTCTTTCGTCGTCACCTTCGTCTCTGACACGGTCTGCGCTTTGGCCTCCACCGACGTGGTCGGTTTCTTCGAGAAAATGTACTTGATCACCTGAGGTCGTGGCGCGAAGATGTTCTCCGTCGGATAAGGCTCTATTATCCTTTCGTTCTTAATTGCCTCCAACGGAGAAGAATCGCCATTGGCTACAGGAATCGCCTCGACGTCCTGCGAAGCTCGATCTTGATATCGAATCGATCCAAAACTGTCCCTTCCAGCCAGATCGCGTGGTGTTAATCTTCTCACCGTGTCCACTCGATCACCAGATCGTATCCTGGCTTGTTCACCAATTTCCTCGTACAGCTCGAAGTCACGACCACCTTCGAACGCGTCTGATAGACTCGACCCAATTCCGCGAACCGTCTGCTCGATCCCGTATCCTCGTTCAGGCACCAGGATCCGACGCCGATACAGGGGATGATTCTGGTATTTGGCGCGGTCCAAGTAACTCTCGATGGCGTTCCAGTTCTCTAGATCGCGGGTAATCGCTCGTCTGGCCAGGCTGGAGATCTCCTTTATATCGACGGAACGATCGTTCGTCTGCGGAGGAAAACTTTGCGTGTCCTGTGGAGGACTTCGTGCTAGGTTACGTTGGTTCTCCAGCTGAACCGTGTCGTCTGAGTACATCAGACGTTGGGAGGGCACCTGGTAGGTCTTCTCCAGGATAGCTCCATGGTCGAAGAACTGTTTCTCTTGGTAGTTACCGCGGGAGTCCTCGTTAGCGTCTGGATAATAGGCTTCGTAGACCACTGGCCCTCTGTCGAGGTCGTAACTCTCGTAGCTGGAATTAAATTCCATGAACATTCGATTTTGTGTAAGTTGGTAGTTTATTCATATTAACCGTATTATTGATTGTGTAGTGTTCCATTTTAATACAGAGAAATGGAATGGATTTGTTATTGGTATTCATGTCTAGCTCGAGTGGTTAGTTCTTGGGAGACAGATTTCGAAGTTACTGCTGAGGATAGGATGTTTTCTATCTGTCTTAGTTTTCATTTCAGAAGTATAAGGGTTGCTGGTACATCTAGCTTGAGCCTCTAGTCCTTGAGTGGCAATGACCTCGAAGTTATTGCTGAGAATGCAATTCATGAATCTATTCAATTTAATAATAACGTATATTGAAGTTGAATTGAACGATCAATGCCAGAGGCAATAGAGTAATAGAATGCCTCCCATCTATATTTGTTCCCACCCCCTTCTGCTTGGACGCACGTGTTTCGACAGTACAAGAACGGAATGTGTCCACCCCGAGCACGAAATTTTTGTCACGTCCGCAGCGCTTTCATTCGTCTTCCGTTTTCCTCACTGCGGCGAAGACAATTTCCAACCGAGGGTCACAAACTTCTATCCCCCTCCTCGAAAAGAAACTGCATGGATATCGCTTTAGAATTCGGATCGATGGGTGGTTGCACATCTTGTCAACGAGCCCCAGATGCTACTCAAATAGCACATGATACCTTGAAGACGTCCATTTTACGGCTATTTTAGGTTTAGGGCGTCTTTAAGTCGTCTTTAAGGCGTCATCTGCTATCTGGTTGTTATTTATACGAGCATTACATAATTCCAGGAACATATACACAGTGAATACATACATATAGTACAGTGAATCCTCGATGAATGCGACACGAGCAACGGCGTTAATCACACCACTGATAGAATCCTCCTCCCAGACAGCACATGACGCCTTAAAGACGCCTATTTTACGGCTATTTTAAGTCTAGGACGTCTTTAAGCCGTCATGTACTGTCTGGGCTGTGGAACCAATCAGAACAGAGTAAACAGAAGCTAAGCAGAGATTCTTCGGGCAAAAAATAAATTTGTGAGAGGCCGAAAACCTTTTCGCCTTGCCATGATCCTCCGAAGTGGAACCGAGTATGTCACATTCATCGAGAGATTACTGTATTCGTTTCTTATACAAATAAGTGCATTCCATCTCGATGCTTCAAGTTATTCGCATGGCGTAGACGATGATTCTTGTGGCAACTAATGGAAGTGAAATACGCACCGGTGTGTGTCGGGATTCCAAGCGACGACGACTGGTGATATTCCTGGCGGATGGGAAAACACAATTAATGCAGTATACACTAAAATAATTTTGTCGGAAGGGAGACGAGGAATTCGGGACGAAAGATATACTCTGGCAGCAAGAATTTCCGAATTACCCTTAAGGATTGGAGGGAATAGGTTTAAGACAAGCTAAGAGTTAAGAATTTGACTAATTGTTAACTGATGAACGTTAAGATCGAATCTGGAAACAATTTGCGAGGCTATACTGCGTCGCGATAACTACAAAAGCACCCGAAAAAGTTCAATTCTATTATGTATTGCGGTTATAATAACAACGAACCAAATAGAGATAAATGAACACTCAAGTGATTTTGTAATTACATCTCAATGTCGTATTTTAAATGATAATATTAATACATATTCGGCAAATGAAATAAATGTAATTAATAAATGTAATTAAATTGGAAAGAAAAAATACAGGTTTCACCTAGTGAAAATGAACAAGGAATTGAAAAAAATAACGTCCGTTCACTGATACGTGTTTGTTTACTGATGCTTGTTAATGTTTCTTCAGGAAAAGATAGATTGATGTTAGTTAAGCAAACATTTAGATAATCAATCTACGGGCCAAAGGAATACAAATTCAGCATAATATAACGAAAATTCAACCAAGAAAACAGCAAATATTCTTTCAAGTCCTAACTCCGAAACTTGGAAAGATTTCTTTCTTCTTAAAGGTTGTATCTCCAAATACCAATAACAATTGAAAATTTACGTTGACAATAAGATGAAATTCCGTTAAATATTGTAACAAATAGCTATACGGTAGACGATATTATAGTGTGTGTCATTTATTTCACTACTTTCCTGTTTCTATAATATCAAACTTCGTAAACATTAAATTCAATTTTAAAATTGTTATTCTCGTGTATAAACTAGTGGAGATCGAACAATTAAGAACTACAGCGACGAATTTAAGAAGGAACGTCGATTATCGAGAGAATCACGTGAAAAATAGGTGAATGAAGAACACAGAGGGATACGGTCCAGGTGAGATTTGTGCTCGATCTGGCTTTATAATCACCTACCTATCAGAATCGTTATCGCTGTCGTCGTGAGCAGACACTCTTTAAGATCCATGATCCTATCTCGGAGCAAACGACAACTGAGCTTCGTTCCGAGGGACGTGCGCGCGTATTTTCAGATGTCCCTAAAATAAACCGCCATTTCCTTTGGGCCTCGCTGACTAATTCTCTTCGTAGAGCATACACCCGTGCACTGGAACACACGAACAGGCGATCTCCACTAAGATAACAAGCGTATTTATTCAGCGATGGTAAATTAATCGCGACCATTTCCACGCGTCTATAGAGTGGTCTTTTTCCGAAAATCTGGCCTGAAAACTCATTCGGGATTTTAATAAAAATTGGTATTCTCATATTTTTGGTTTTGCTAAATTCGAATGTCTTATCAAAAAAGCAAAATTCATAATGAAAGCGCTTAATACCACTGGCATAAATGTTGTTTTTAACCATTTAACGACCAGACCCTTAAATCGTTGCTTCAAAATTATGAGACATGTATAATATACATATTTAATTAGAGTATAATTTACATTATAGTATTGCGATAGGGTTTAGGATATATTTTAACTGGAACGAGTACAATTTCACTGGAAATAATTTCTGAAAAGGGATTTCTTCCCGAGCAACGGGAAACTACAAGTGAGTTTCGTGTTCGTTCATCGTTGTCATCATTAATGGAGTATTAATGGACGTTGTAGTATCTGAAAGAATGCAGCGAAATGGAAATGTCAGAGGAGAGCAAAGTTTTGATAAGCTTGGAAACATGGAAAGAATCATCTCGATTTTTCCAAGCCAGTTCGTTCTGCTTTTTCCAATTGAGAAATGTTTAATACCCTTTGAATAAGAAATAATACGAGAAAATATATTCCAAATACTAATTATACTTTATGATTAGGTATTGAAATTATAATAGTGCTTTTGGCGGAATTTATGTTAAATATTATTTCCCATACATTTTATGTTCTCCTATATTATATTAAATTTTACTATATGTTATGTAATATTGTTATATTGTAGAATTAATTAACGATCGTCTTTAAGACGTTCAGATTAGGTCGTAAGATGTTCAGACCTAAAATGGACGTGAAATGGACGTTTTGAAGACGTTGTGTGTTATCTGGGTTTAATTCACTATACATTTAACGCTGATAGAGTGTTAATCAATTTAAAAGAATCCACAGAAACGTAAAGACAAGATTCCCACTAACAAAAAGGGATATGAATAACCTCAAAAAAAAAATGATTTTCACAGAAAAATGGTGGAACACAACTTGCCTAAAGGGAAGAATCTTTAAAATCCATCCACCGTTGGCAAGCCGTTCCCACCCCTAAATCACCGTCCATCCTGGGAAACTGAAAATATCCGGGATCGAAAAAGGGGGTCGTGCGTAATAGCCAATCGCGCTATTGTTTACCCCGCATCCCCAATTTGCTCGTTTCCCGTCCCCTTTCTTTCTGAGACGACACTTTAGATCAAAACTCGCCGGCTGATCAGCTACTCGGGACTTGTTGACTCTGAACCCCGTTTCACCCCCGTTCGAGGATTTAGATCAGGCGATTGCCCCATGGTCGTGTCGGTTCAACGATACTAGGACTCACGGAGAGCATGTTTAACGGAAGTGACTTGTTCCTCGAGAAGACCTGGTTTGAAATTCTCGCCTTTATCCAGGCGAGTGCGTCGATGAAAATTTAATAATGAAGCAGGGGCGTAGCCAGGGAGCCCCTCCCCAGAGAAGAAAAACAGATAATTTAATTATTTTAATTAGTAGAATAATTTCAATGTAATGGTTTGGATACAAAGATTTGAAAATGAGCAGTAAAATTTTGTAAAGTAATACTTCTAATAATACTAGTACTACTATCGTATCGCTAGTTGATACTTTAGTATCACTAGTCTTAATATGTTATCACTAGTTCGCGGTTAGTAGTTAGTGATGGTTAGTAGGTATTGGTGGTTAGTGACATTGGTGGTTACCCTCGATATGGATCGCACGTTGTTTCCTAGGGTGGAAATTATTGGCGTGATTATTGGCTGAAACTAGCGAAGGTATTCTTGACATTGATGGATATCGAACTGGGTGTTTATTGAGAGTGTTCGATCGATTTATCGAACGGAGAACACGTTGGAGTGAATATGGTGAACAAAGTGTTTATGGGAGGAAATTGTAGTACAGGAGAATCGTTGGCGAGAAATTCGAAGGAATGTTTGACGATGGATTATGCGACAAATAGGTGGGGTAGAAACCTGTTGGTAGAGGAAACGTGGAAATATTAAGGAGAAGGGCAAATATACGTAGGTCCTTGAAGTTGAAACGATGTAAAGATAAAACGGAAAACGAAGTTATTTAACTATAATTACCTCTGTTTTCCAGAACCTTCTAGATTTTGGTAGTTATAATTGATTTCATTCATGTGCTTTCTATGGAGCTCTTAATTACTCGATTCACTGAATTTTTCCCTTAATCCTCGCGACATTCCTTGAACGCCACCTTATGGAACATGGCCTCATGGCCGCCATTACAGTGTCATCGTGAGCGCCTTCATACGTCTGACCCGAAATCAGACTTAATTAACGTTCCAGGCGTGGTTGTAACACTTCAATCAGAATTGGAATCGTTAACAGGAAGGACGGTTGGTTGGAAAAAGTTATTAATTAACGGGAGCGAAAATGTTGCATTGTCCCGAATTGAATAGTCGAACGGCGGATTCTGGTTTCGAACTGCCACACGACTAATTATAAACCGACACGAATCAGCCATAATTATTAAAATTATGAAAATCCTGACGGAGTACAGTCACAAATAACCTGTATGACATTTCGTTGTGGTAACAGACAATTAACGTGCACGAGAAAATACGGTATAAATCCGCGAACGAAAATGAAGTTACGATTTACCATGTACGCCGAAAATGGACTGCAAGAAATATTGAACAAACCGGTTTTATTCGAAATCCCATCCCAACGATAAATCCAAAATAAAAGCGAAGACCAAGAAGAATATTCCGACAAGGAGTGCAAAACATGGTGAAGGTTGAAAGAACAAGGCGATAAGAAATAGGGCAAAATAAGGGGGGGGGGCGGAAACGAAACGGTGATTAACCAGAAACCATTCGCGGTTCCGGTCGTTCCAGAGGAATTGGGGTTGCGACGGTGAGGTGAGAAAGAAAAACAGGCTCAATTGTCCGGCAACGTCCTGGGCAACAATCCTCGAGTTAATGACCTGTCACGCTGGTTGACGTGGAGAAGCCCCCATCTCCCCCTGTAATCGCGATGCAAACCTTCCCTCGATTTGCTCGAGGTAAACACACACATACCTGGGGGGTGAACACTAAAAAAGCGGCGCGAGGAACGTTTCCATTTTGGCCGTGGTTCCTCCTCGTCGATGTGGCTTAAGTAGCGAGACCTCACGCCTGCCAGACAGATCCGTCGTTCCTCGCCGAACAAACCGGGAATCCGTCCAAACGAAAAGGTAAAATTATTTAGTATAAAAATATTTAGTTTACACAGATAATTTGCACATAATCAATACCTTGAATGGATTAAAATGAAAATCTAAACTGATTGATTATTTGTAAGATTATTTCAAGGTCATCTCAAGGTCACTTTTATTTAATACGAACGTTCTAGAACTTTGAGTCGGGTGGTCGTAATTGTAAACCGCCGAATTTTTCGATACAGTCGGTACACATGATGAACAAACGAATTTGTATTTCCACCTAATGACATGTCATTTTTCACCGAACTGTTCTCGATCACTTTATGACACTACGAAAACGTTAACGATGGTGTTCTTTATCCTCGATAACGTTTTTCTAAGCTCTATGTATCATATATGACAAAATATGACGGTTGTTTTACGAGCGCAAAAAACTAGTCAAGCATATACCATATACCCACCATTATTCTTGACCTCGAGGGCTATGGTGGCGATACCGAAGGGAAATTAAAAGCAGCACGTTTTTCATTATTTCCTTTTTTCCAACGTTCCTTTTTGTCGGGTTGTTCTATTGTATCAGTTTGTACGTAGCTGCACGAATTCGTTTTTCTCCCCTTCACGGTAAAAGAAATTTCAATTCGCGTGCGATGGGGTATGTCCGAAGCGCGCGCGAGTGCTTCGAAAGAAAAGTATTAAATATTCTCGTAGACCGTGTTATCGTTATCGATCAATTTCATCATTAGCTAATAAATGCTCGCAGACCCTGTTATCGTTATCGATCAGTCAGGGATGGAATATATCGCTCAGTGTTTTTTGCACGTTCGCGACGTAATTGTAAAATAGGCAAAAGGAAAAAAAAACACCGCGTTTATATACCGAACACTCGATCGTGCAACCATCACTCGTCGTGTCTCGTTCGATCGAGCAACATTTTCCAGTACATAACTATACATTCTCGGTGAACAAATATCGAGAGCACGTCTATAATTTATTGTAATTCTCGTTCAAATGATATGGGACCTGAAGGAAAGCTTCTCAAAAAGCCATCGACAACGCTGTAAGTAATAACACGAACCGCTACGTATGCGTCGTTTCCGGTAAATACAATAAATCCTCGATGAGTGCTCGAAAGCTTCTAATGAGGTTCAGTACAGTGACAGAACTTGGAATTCGGAAACCAATGATATCTGTTTCAGCCGTATATGGTCATTAGTTTATGAAATTGCTATTATTTCAAACGAATTGACAATACTTTTATTTTCAAATAATTGTAAACAAAATTCCGAAATGAATTATTTCTTATTTTCATTGCAAATAAAATTTGTCCTGGTTTGTGTCACCATTCCCGGGAAAAAATGAGGGATAACGATGGTCTTCTAGCCTTTAGTAACCTAAACCTGTTCTTTTTATTGTCGAACCAGGTGATTTACGACAGTTCGGTGTTCGTAGGCTTCCGCGTTCCTCCCATCGACCCGACCGATTACAGCCTCGGGAACGATACTCCTCTTAGATTCTAATCTCATCGGCCTTCTTATCTTTACAGGCTTCCGTCGAACACCGCCGCCCCCTGAATATTTACGCGACGTCGAAAGCCCCAGCGGTCGGAAGCACGACCGCA